ACACTGAAGTATTTGGGAATGCTTGCCTGTCCATTTCAACTATTTATTTTTTTACTTCATGATGATATTGAAGTACTTGGATAAAATGACAGTACGCGTGCACACGCACACACACACACACACACACATACACACAAGACTGTGCTCTTGTTGAGGTAGCCAAGCAACAGCTCCTATCAGCTGAGAAACCCAGAGGATCTGCAGAAGTGAGCCTTTGTATGTTTATTACAACTATGCATCTTTATTTGCTTTCTCCTCCTACTGCTAGCATCCTCTGACTGATCAAATAATTTACAATGCCAGAGGTCTGGGAGTTTAATAGGTGTCCTTCTTCAAACTACACATGTCTCAGAGATATACCATATACAAAACAGAAAAATAGTGTTCAATAACATATAGCATTGTTCCCTAAGTGGATCACATGGAGGTATTCAGAGAAGATGGAAATAATGCAATATTGATATAACTTGCCATGTGTCTCATATATTATAAAATTATAATAATATAATAATGCAACATAATATGGTGACATATGCAAAAGAGAAAACATTACTACTTTCTCAGCTTGGATCCATACCTTTTGCTTTACACGCCCAATATAAATATTTTAGTTAAATATTATATATAAGTAAGCACCATTAAATAATCTTATACAAGCTCCAGGCTCCCTCAGACCTTATGCTATGTATTTCTTTTGCTTATCTCAGTCATTATTTCAAATTAATATGTTGGGCTCAATTTCTGAACCAGTTTTCTGTTCACTTGGATAAAATGAATAGAAATAATGTTTATCAGCCATAGAAACTCCACCCAAGTGTTAAACCACTTTCTGTGTTATGACTAGGGCTGTGTTCCATATATCACTACCTCACTAGTTGCTGCTGTCTATTCTAGGTAGCAAGTGTTGTATTCACAGTAAAAAGCATGTGAGAGCACCTTATATAATTCTCTACTGTTCAGATAGGCAACATAATTTTCATTTTCCAAAAACCCCTTGTTCTATTCCCAATCTCAGTTCTCTGAACAATATAAATTGTCTAAACTAGACTCGCTGCAGCTTATAAATTTGTCTCTCTTGTGTCATATCCCTGTTTCACATTGAGATATAGCAAAAATTATGATCTGTTGTTACAAATAACTATATATGAGTCTCATACACATTAATTCCCTCTTCATAGTGCAGGAAGAAAAGGCGACTCTTTAACAAAGCACAAGCCAAACTTTTTCTAAACATCTATTCAAAGAAGTAGGATAAGACTATGTACTTTCTTTGAACTTTGCACTCTAAATCCTGAAAGTAATCTTTTTCCTACTACTCACAGGAAGGTAAGCCAACGGTTATGTGCTACTTTGCATCCAAAGAGCTCAGGCTGACACACAAGATTCTTAAGCGGCCTCCCATCCATTCAACATCTTTACATATAAATTGTTAATTAATTTAGTCAAAGCACATAACAAAAATAAGCCCAATAATATTAGTAAACTGAAATGGGAGTTATGAGTGTTCTGTCTTAAGGAGAATTTACTGGAATATGTAGGATTCAGAGAAGTGGTACAGATATCTCTTCCAAATAATATGCTTTTTTAAAGAAGGTAATTAATGAGATTTGTCTATCATTGGTGTCCTTGTATCAGTAGAACTAATAATGCTTTATGCCAATGTATATTATAACCACAAAAATAAATATTTGCTATTTATTCAAGGTGGATTATTGATTTATGTGCACTGTATTACTGTTTTTTCAAGGGAAATTAATAGAAAACTGTACAGATCCTTCTAACATCCAGTATAATGTGCCAGTGTCTTTGTACTGAATTCTTTTCATGCACTGATGAGCAATTCATTTTAAATGTTACATTTTACTTTTAGCTCTTAAATTAATCGTTTTAGATTTAGAAATGATATCTAGTACCTTAGTGAATTATATGAAATAAAGGGTTAAAAAAAAACACATCAGGAGTTCAAATTAGTCCAGCAGTAAAATACTTTGCAAAAAAATATTTTAAAATATGGTGTGATTAAAAAAAATAAAATAATATATAGTGTGAGATAGATATTTCTGAAATACTAAATATGTTGGAAACTTTTATTTGACTATAGTGTAATTCTGTTCATAGAATATTTTCTGACTCAAAATATGGACAAGCTCCTTTGATTAAGCATGCTATGCCTTTAGGAATAGTGGCATTTAGACAATATTCTGGAGAACTTAAGAGTCCCCTGGACAATTCTCAGGAGTTCCTCAATCAATAAAATGAACAATAGCTGCAATATTCCTGAAAGCCAGTTTGTCCCTCAAAACTCTGTTAAGTCCACTCACAGGAAACTATTGCAGCCCAGGAATTTTCGTTACTGCACAAATATATTTTTCTGTGTCATGATTTTGTAATGGACTCATGGGTTCCTAAGATGTAGGATTCCGTGGGACACTTACAAATATTCATTTTTCCAAATGTCTTCCTGGTAATCCATATCACAAGACTGTGGTGATATTGTGGCACTACCATATTAATTATACGTCCTTACTTTAAAGTCTGTACATTGAAAAAGGTACTGCACATGTGCAAAATACTTTTGATATCACTTTCATGTTCATTTATCAATTTGCAGCAGTATTTCCCAGCCTTGGCAACTTCCAAATGTGTGGACCTCAACTTTCAGAATTCTTAGCAATGGTTGTGCTAGCTGGAAAATTCAGAGAGCTGAAGTCCACTATATGGAAGACGTCAAAGTTGGGAAATGCTGGTTTAGAGTATTCCTCTCCTAACAGGCAATATACTTGACCAACTCTACATATTGTAATACCGTACTGTGTATTTTAGAAAATGCATTCATACAGATGATAATGAGTTCAGGACTATTTTGATGTACAGTATTGCTTGTGCTTATTAGAGGAAACAACATGAACTAACATGAAAAAAACTTTAGAAAATGTGCTAGTTTGTGCATGGACTACTTCTGAAAATTTTCATGGGGGAAAGAAGAAATTAGATGGAAGAGGAGACTAGGAAAAACCAATAATAAGATAATTTGCAAAACATAATAGGGAAAGTCTCCGTTTTGAATGTACAAAGTTTTAGCACATTACTAGAGGTTCTCAAACTGGAGGGGGTCACCAGTAATTTAATGTGGGCATTAAATTTTGGGGGGAAGTGAGATACAATCAAACTGGAGAGAACTGTCAAAATTTGCTCTAGCATTGCTAGGACAAACAGGCTTGCATAGGAAATATAAGCAGAAATGCCCAGGATTAGTTATTACAATACTCCAGGCCCAGGAAGAGATCATTGTGTTATCTCTGCAAATAAGCCCTCAGTAGGGGCCAATGAAACACCAACTTGGAGCAGGAAGGAAAGGCATAAGTGGAAGCACGTGGGAAGATCCTGCTGCAATTGATGATTGTTCACCGCCCAGAGTCACTTGTTTGAGATGGGTAGCTATACAAATTGAATAAATAAATAAAATAAAAGGAGCCTCAGGAACACTTCCACCACTGCATCACTCAAGCCAGGTTTGGGCATATGAAGGGTTGTTCTCAAATCTGTCATGAAGACCTTTTGAATTTGATCTTTGTTAAATAGCCAACACAAAGGTACATAGAGGTTCCAAACTCATAATATGGCATGTCCAATGTTTTCAGCAGGGCTGAAATTACTGGCAGCCCAAGCTGGTTTCTATAATTTCTGTACTGAGGCCCAGGAGCAGCTTATGCCAGGTCCATGGCCTTGGCAGAGAGGCTGCCTGGCTGCAATGATGGGGGAGGAGACTTACCATCCAGCTGAACCTGCTTTCAGAACTAAGCTCAGGAATAGAGAGCAACTTCAGCCAGGCCCAAAGACTGGCCTTCTGCATTTAGTAATCTCTAAATTTTTCATCTGGGAAGCAGGCCAGATGAAAAATGGATAATAGGATTCCATGGTTAGAGTCACATTAATCAAGGGCACTAGTTTCCTGGTTGAGTCCAGCGCAAGGCTGGTAAGCAAGTAGAAGCTGAGTGGCTCAAGGTTCTCCTGGCCTTGTTCTAGTTCAGATGGCTAACACAGAGAAACAGAGACTCTTAGAAAAGTCAGAGGTGAAGAGGCCTGAGCCTGGAGTATGTTGTGAGCAGACTGCAAACAGAAAATCATCACTGCCTTCACTCTCCAGGAATCAGGCATTTGCTTTCCCTGGAAATGTGTCTTTTTCTACTGGAGAAAAGAGCCACCAGGTCCATGCATCATACTTGTTTTTTATTTATACTTTAATAGTAAATTGGGGAGAATCACTCAGGCAGCAAATGGGCAGGGACTACATTCAGCAACTTGAAAAGAGGCAGATTTCTCATCTGGGTACTTCATCAGATCTGAAATTGTTATTGACAGACAGAAGTAGCAGACATGTGGTATAAAGAAGAAATGGGACCAAGGAAGAAGGCAGACACTTTCTCCAGGACCAGAAAGGCCTTGGCAAAGCCACAAAGGCCACCAGATTTGGTATTGGTTTCAGTGGCAAATTGTTTGGCAACAGTCACAGGTAGAGAAAAGAGGCTGAACTCAATTCCAGATAGCACCCTTTAAAAAGGATTCAGTAACAAGGCTGTACAGGCAAAAACGCAGAGCTGTTGGAACTCAAGCAAAATGGAGGGAGCAAAGACTCAGCACCTTTGCATGGCCAAACCCGTGGCTAACCAAAGAGCAAAGCCTGCAGGGATTTTCGACAGTGCAAAACAGGGAGAAAAACTCAGAGTTCATTTTGACCCTGTTCCCATTTTTCATGCAGAAGCAGATGCAAAATGGAAGCATTTTTCAAAACGTCCTACAGCTTTGCCTGGGCAACCCTGGGTCTAGCCGTTTGTCAAAATATTCCACCGCTCAACCAAATTATTTATATTAGCAAATTCATAGAAATTCCTTTATTGTTTTAGGGGGGTTGTAATATCAGAACATTTGAGAATCTCTAGATTAAGCAATTTGGCAACAAGTGTGTCTCTTGGCCATCTTCAGACCTCACATTTCCTTACCCTCTGTTTCCGCAAGCTTCCTGGGCTAGTAGGAGAAGGGCTTGGAGACTTCCCGGAACGGGGAGTAGAAAGCTGACTACCAGGAGTTCCATTAACTAGAAAAACAGAGGAACAGACAAAAACACATGATTTTGGATCTGGTACCACTATAATTAAACACCACATAAACAACATATTGCTCACATTAGCCAACACTTTCTGCTTTGCCTTTTACAGTTTTTATCCTCATAATAAGAATTAAATGGAGATGTTCTCAAGCAACTAATCACTTTAATGTGGGTCCCTCAGTATTCAACAGGTATACATTTTACTTAATAAGTGATCAATTAATTTGTATTCAATATGTAGCCACAATGAAATTAAAATTATTGTCTTCAACTCTGGAGTGCTTGTCCATGCAAAAAATGCAGAAGATTGTACTTGCTCTTTTTTTTTAAAAAAAAAAACAATTGGTCTCTTCCTCTCCTTTTTAGAGATGGGGGGATTGTTTAATGTTGTCTATTAGAAATATCAGATTATTGCTATACATAAAAAGGACATTTACTACTACTGATACTAAATTGGAACTGTTGAAAAGATTTCTATGTGACACCTTTGACCTAGGCATTAACTCATCTGGGACTCTTTCATTTCCAAGATCACTACCCATTCTTTCACAGTGGCTTTCTTAAATATGAAAGGCTTCTAAACTGTTGCTATATTCATTACAATTCCTTTCTATTTACATAACATTTGCCGTAGCATTTGAAACGAAAACTTGACAGCTGTGAAAGCTGTAGAATAGAAGACCTAGGCAAATAATGCTAACATTGCACTGAAAAACAGGAGAGAGAGAGAAAGAGAAAGAGAGAGAGAGAGAGATGCTATATAATAAAATGTCTTCTCAGACATGCCATTGCTAGGTCACAATCTATATTCATCAGCCACAAAAAAGCAGTAGCTAGCAGACATCCAAACTCTCTATTTTGCATTAATATTTTCATGCCATGATAGTAATAAGGCATTTAACTTACCTTCTATGAGTTCTAACATGGAAACAGACTTATTTTTAACCTGATAGAGCCAAGCAGGAAAATATTTGCCTTTGTACTACACTCAGGCACTGGCAGAAACAGGAAGCGTTAGAATGAGTTAAGGGTTGCCAAAGCAGCTCACAGAGAGTGCTGAATAAGATGCCGGATTCATAAGCCAAAGCCTTTTCTGCGTAAGGCTGACGTCTTCCGAGCAGCAGTAGGAGGTGTAGGTGCTGTCTTAGGGGCTACATCAAAGGTGTCAATACACAACGCCACGACTTCAGGATGCTGAGCAACTGCAGCCCTCACTCTGATCTGCCAAGCCCCCAAAGCCTTAGCAATCTTATATGCTGCTGCACACTGAATCATAATGAAGTGCCTTTGGGAACAATATACCAAATTACTCATCTGAAAGTCACAATAATAATAATAATAATTCTTATAAAAGCTTAGCTGACTGGGAGCCTCCGAACTGCTACGCCCAGTAGAGAAAACTAGATTTTAAAGCATTGTCAGGTGGGAAGGATATTTTCTTTTCCATCTGCCAACTATGCACAGTGATAAATATTTTGCCCAGTTACCTATGTGATGTGTTCCTTATTCAGCTCAGGCACAAAAAGCATTTTGTGGAATGATAATTAACTGTTACAATACTGTTATGTTAAATTTATCTTTGGAAGCTTGTTCTTTGCACATTGGATTAGAATAGGAAAGTTGCAGCATTAGCACAAAGGTGGGGAACCTGTAGCCTTCCAGATGTTGCTAAAAACCACTCCTAGCAACTCCAGCCAGGAGTTCAGGAACTTCTGGAGGTCCAAATGACCCTAAACATAGAGTTAGCCCTTGAGTTCAACTATCATTATGCAGAAAGGCTTACCATGAAATTCAGGAAATCTGTTATTTAAATCATGTGAATTACTTAAATAGAATTTTTGGTGAATTAATGCCAAAGACATTTACTTCTGAATCACTACTCATTCATCAACAATATTAACGGTGGGGCATGCTTGGACATGGATAATTTATAAGAGATAACAGGGTATTCTAGTGGACCAAGACTGACGCCAAGGTTGCCAACAACACATTACTGCTAACATGATTAAATGCTTGGCTTCTAAATCATTTTTGCTTAGAATTAAGATTATAGCACAAATTTGCATTTAGTTTAAAGGCTTCTAGTTGATTGCTGTTTCCCTAAACCCTTCTCTCACTTCCAAGCAAAAGCAATAGTTTGGTGGTAGAAAATACATTTTAAATGCTAAACCCTCTTTCTGACATCTCTAGTTCAAAAAGTTGAAAATTTCAAGCTGTAGCAGGAAAAGGAAAGTTCTACAAGTGTAAACAACAATAAACTGATTGAAACAAAAGTCTGATTCACTTCCCATTTTTCATTGCCTACTCCATCCATCTTAACATTTCTCAGAACCCACAATGAACGGTTTTAGAAATTAAATATTTCATGCATTGTTACATTAGGAAGACAAGCAAATGGACAATGCCTCACTCTTGCAATTCTGAGATGTATAATATTTTAAAAAAGAATATACCTTGTTTGCATTCTATTTGTGAAGCCAATAATGGCCGAATGGTAAAGAACCCTCCCCCCCGACAAATAATATAACCCAGTAGGACACAGAAGACACCATGTTGCTAATACTGGTATTAAGTGTAACCCTGGCAAAGACACTGATAAAACTACAATAGAGAAATTACTGATAAGGTTAAAAGAAAACTGGAGGGGGGAGGGGAATGCTGGGTATCTGCTTGCTATGTCTTTCTATATTCTGTGAAAGCAACTTTTCCTGCACTGACAGACAAGAGCTTAATTGACTATCCAGACAATGTAGTAGAACTGGAAGTTTTGTCTTTCATTCTATTTTTAAAAGCTTCTTGGACAATTATTTTCTCTTGCATAAGGCATTGGTATGATAATAATGATAAAACCAGTTGGAGAAAGAATTATAAAAAAGGATAATTCAGGTTATGTTAATGGACTCATTTCTAAGAATTAATTTATTACTCTGCAGAACTTATACTGGTTTGTGGCTTAATAGTCTTGTCTGAATCTTGGAATTGCAGCATTAAAGAGTTGGAAAGGGCTACCGGATCATACGCATTTAGAAATAGAGCTGGAATCTCCATCTCCACCCTCACCACACTCCATGTAAAAGTCCAGATTAAAGTATTCACAACATATGCCTCTCCAACTTCTGTGTGAACTCATTCAGTACATGAAAGCCAATCACCTCTCTGGACGGTTTCACTATCAAACTGCTCTTCAGCTGGAATAAAGCTTATTTTGTTCAGTGTCCTGCCTTCTAGATGATACAGAACAGGTACTGACATTTTGAGGGATGTCTTTTCAGGTAGGTGAACAGTACAATCATTCCTTTCTGCCACGCCCCCCCCCCATCTTCTTATAGTTACCCCTTGATCATAATTGTTACTTTTCTTTGAATCTCTGAATCCTTCTGAACTGTGGTGCTCAGAGCACAGTACTTGTTATATGTTTGACCAACATAGAATAAAATTGAGCAATTTCTTTCTATGGTCTGGAAATTATACATTCATTGATGTAATTTAAAATTGCATTTGCCCTTTCTGCAGCCACATTATACTGCTGACTCAATTCATAGTTAGCTACTATTCCAAATTCTTTTTCGTAAATACTGTTGCCAGGTGATTCTTTTTATATATATGTGTTCAAGTCAGTGTAGACTCCTGGAGACTATTTGGACTATTCCATGCAGTTTTCTTGGCCAGGTTTTGGAGGTGGTTTGCCATTGCTCAGAGAGAATGACTGACCCAAAGTCATCCAGCTGGCTTTGTGTCTAAGGCAGGACTAGAACTCACAGTCTCCTGGTTTCTAGTCTTGTGCCTTAACCACTACACCAAACTGGCTCTTATTCTTCTTATATATCTGCTCATTAAATTTCTTTTAAGAGCATAACATTGTATTTGTCTGATTCCATTATTTTCAGCCCATTTTTCTAACCCTTTTTCAGATCATTTTGAATTTTATTTCTGCTTTCTAAGATATTAGCAATCCCAATTTTGTATGATTGCAATAAGCATTCTTCCATTCTTCGTTCAAGTCATTTATAAAAATATTGAAGAGTACAGGGTCCAGGACTAAATCATATAGTTCATACCCTTGATATCTCACTTCAAGTGATGAGCACTCTCAGAGTACAATTTTTAACTCAGCTATGCACCCACTTGTCATGCCATCACCCCCTACTTAGCTAGCTTGCTAATCAGAATGTGACGGGGCACTTTGTCAAATGCTTCCTGAAGCATATATTATGCATTCAGCATTCCCACAATCCACTACAGAAGCTGACCCAATCAAACAATTATTTAATTTTCATCAGAAAATGCTTGCTCTTGACAAATCCATGCTTCTGATGATCTCTGCATTATTTTAAGATGCTTGCAAAACAATAACTTTATCATCAACTCTAAAATCTTGTCAGATATCAGTGTCAGAGTGCTCTACAGTTCTTGGTCTTCTCTTCCTCTCTTATCAGAGACACTCTTTTTCTTCCTTAAGTTGTATGACATTTCACTTTTTCTCCAGGATAACACCCCTTTCTTTGTTACCTATTACAATTTTGCCATCCTCATCGAGCAGCTAGTATATCTTTTTCTTTTTCTTTTTCTTTTGAACAGGCTTCAAAAAATCTTTATGTTGCTGTTCTTCTTACTGCCAACCTCAGCTCCTTCTGAGGTTTTACTTTCTTGACATCATTTCTACAATTTTGGACCACTTGTATGTATTCTTCAGTCAAGATCTGTTCCTCTTTCATTTCCTATATGTGTTCTTTTTTTCCCCCCCCCCCAGGTTTTTAATAAAAATTTAATTCTTCCTTTTTGTTTTCCTGGATGGAATTATACTTTAAGATTTTATGTTTTTAGGAACCCCTACTCATCTTGATTTCCTTTTCCCATTAGCACCTCCTGCTATAAAATCCTCCATATCATTGCTCTAAGTTGATTAAAATATGCTTGTTTGAAGAGATTGAGTACACATAGCTTTTATTTTCTTTAAAATCAAGAATTCCAAAAATCCTCCAATGTTCCTGCTGTGCCTACCTCCTCAGCTCACTCTTCCCCTACTGGTACCAAGTCAGTGATATCCAATCAACTGGTGATTTCCTGAACTCTTTAAAGGAGAAAACTAGTTGCAAAATAAATCAGGAATTTTCTAGAAGGACAGTGTTTGGCAGTTTCTCTCCCAAAAGATAACAGGGTAATTACAGTATTCCATTACTAATATGTCATGGTTTTTTGAAAGATCTGCAATTAATTTTTTGAAAGGGTCATCTACATCTTCTGCTTGATTGGGCAGGCAATAATATGAAGGCCATGAATATTCTGAGCCTTTTTTAAAACTTTTTTTTCTGATTTTTCATTGAATTGTTCATTGGGGCTCATTACAGCCACACTCCCATGTACTTTTACAGTGTAAAGTCTTTATTTCAGGATTTTTGTTCCATAGGACAAAATTTAAAGCCTTACTGATAAAGCCTGTGATATTTTAGCTAGACACATTTCTATCAGTTCTTATGAAGTACAACCTTTCCCATATCAGTAATCCATCACCAGACAACTTAGATCATGGTCCCAGAAACTAATGCTGTCTTGCCAACACCATTTGCAAAGCTTGTCACATGCTATATTCTGATTATTTTCCATAAACAAGAAAATTAGTTGAAAACATCATACGGGCTCTTAGGTTAACTTTCCTTCTTAGATCTTCAGAGTCTAAGGTAAAATAGTTCTAGGTATTACTGATATTTGACCCAGCATTGATTATCGAGAAAATGTGAGGGGACTTTCGTCTTGTTCTACAGCTATAATTCATTCTAGTATATTGGTACAGCAGATCTAATATTAAGAGAAAACCAAGGAAAACAGGAGAGAGTCTGAAATTAATGTCATTTACTAATAGTATACTCTATAATTTGTAACTGGGTTGTTCTCAGGGTTCAATGGCAGCGGCCTAGTTCAAAAAAGTTATCACAACTTACACTGAGGATCCTGGTACATGGTTTGGAATATACAACAGAAATTCTTAACATGCTCGGGTAAGAATTTCAGGTCATACAATCTCAGGACAATCTATAAAGTAGAACATCTCTCTTGGGGGCTGCTTACTTAACATAGAAGATGAGGAACCCAGATGGCAATGATCACATTTGGTTAGCCAGCATGAGAAAATGCCAGCCTGAGACAGAAAAGGCTAGCCAGTGTAAATAACCTCTTACTTTAACTTAAAAATAGGAAAAGAATGTACAAGTAGCCATCTTCATGTTTAGCCAACACATTAGACTCCATATATAACAAGGCAGGCTTTACCAGCAGTAGAAAGCTTTACTTTGCTATTAGAAATGCTTAAGCAACTATGTATTAATCAAGTCTCTGTTGCTTTTATTTTGCTTTTTGGCTTTATTGCTATTTCAGCAATGAAAATGGGAAAGCAGGGAGAAAGGAATATGCTTGCCTAGCTAAGTTTCTATAATGAAATCTTGCCATAAAAATGAGACTTCTTTTGCTATGCTGTGTTAATACAAAAATAAAAATCACAAGAGACATCTTGGGTACTGTATCATGGATTAAATCCCATGAACCACTGAAATCCTCATGACAGTTTATGATATGAAAGTTCTTCACATTCACATCATCATCACCCTACCCAACACAGAAGATCAGATGCAAAGTATGCCCAGAAACGTATGGCTTTGTGAGATGGGTGGCTATATAAATGAGAGAGAGAGAGAGAGAGAGAGAGAGAGAGAGAGAGAG